CTCCATGTATGCTTTATAAACTGCTTAAATAGTGCACCCATTACGCTTTGCGCGCTTAGAGTTTAAGGTTTAAGGTTTTAGAGTTTAAGGTTTTCAAAGTACAACCTTTATTGAATTAGCTGTATATATATACAGTATATATATATATATACAGTATATATATATAGTATATATATATATATACAGTATATATATATACAGTATATATATATACAGTATATATATATATAGTATATATATACAGTATATATATATATACAGTATATATATATATAGTATATATATATATATATATATATATATATATATATATATATATATATATATATATATATATATATATATATATATATATATATATATATATATATATATATATATATATATATACAGGGTGTATCAAAAAAAACTGAACAGATTTAAAATTGCTCTCAATTTCGCAAAACAGCTATTTGTATCTGGTTTTTTATATATATAGCTTCTTTGGGTACTTATAATGTAAAATAATGAAAAAATTTCTCGAACTCAAATTTTGTGAACCAGGGGGGTGTGTCTTTTCCAACAAACTAAAAATGGCTCGCGCACAAAATTTAAAAGCTGCAATCATATTTTGAGTTAACAGATGGAAAATTTGTCGGGATTTTAATTACTGTACAAAATTTCAGACAATTTGGTTTAGTTTAAGCCCCTTAACTATTCACGCAAAGTTACAATTTTCCCGAAAAATCAGCTATTTGCATGCTTAATTAATGCATTTGCCTAATTTGCATATGTCAGCAATATGCAAATTAGGTAAAGGCATTAATTAAGCATGCGAAAGGCTGACTTTTTAGAACAAAATGAATAGTTAAAGGGCTTAAACTAAACCAAATTGTCTGAAATTTTGTACAGTAATTAAACACCCGACAAATTTTCAATCTGTTAACTCAAAATATGATTACAGCTTTTAAATTTTGTGCGCGAGCCATTTTTAATTTGTTGGAAAAGACACACCCCCCTGGTTCACAAAATTTGAGTTCGAGAAATTTTTTTCATTATTTTACATTATAAGTACCCAAAGAAGTTATATATATAAAAAAACAGATACAAATAGGTGTTTTGCGAAATTGAGAGCAATTTCAAATCTGTTCAGTTTTTTTTGATACACCCTGTGTATACACTCAGGGTCTATTAAAAAAGTGCACAGATTTGAAATTTGCTCTTAAATTCGCAAAACAGCTATTAGTATCCAGTTTTTTATGTATATAGCTTCTTTGGGTACTTATAATGTAGAAAAATGGGAAAAAATTCTCGACCTCAAATTTTGTGAACCAGGGGGGTGTGTCTTTTGCGCACGAAATTTAAAAGCTTTAATCATATTTTAAGTTAACAGATGGAAAGT